ATTATTAATTAATTAATAATTAATAAACTGTAATACTAAATTATTAATTAATAAACTGTGTTTATAAAGCACAGTTGTTATTGTTAAATAATTTTTTTTCTTCTCTTTTATAAGTGCATATATATGTACATATATATGTAGGGTGTCTCAAAAAGTTATAGCTAAATACGTCTCAAGCTTATTTTAGTTAAAAATTAGCTCCTCTTTCACCTTGTTCGGTTTGATTCATCACCTTTGAGATATCCAATATACCTGCGATTCTAAGGATAAAGGTTGCACTTGTCTTGAAACGTACAGATAGAAATATGAATTGTGTTTTTAAGATTTTATGTTAATTACTTTTTTATTGAGCTATGATATTTTTTCTTGAAAGAATGTTAGGAATATAAATTAATTTATGCATAGACTTAAGATATTTCAAAATGTTGACGCAACTTTATATGTCAATTATAGGTGTTCGATAAGAATCGCATATATCGAAGAAGTATAAATATTCGATTCTCGAATATCTTACGTTCATATTTGAAAAAAGAAAACATTTGAAAGTAAAAGCGCGCAATTGGCGAAAAAAATAATATTTGAAAATAATTCTTTAGATTTCTAAGCATGTTTTATCTAGAAGATATTTTATCGAAGAATTAATTACTATAGATAATACAAAAACAAATTATTCTGCATTCGCTTGTAACAGAATTTTTTTTATCTCGAACGATTGCTCAACTGAAATAAAAATAAAAGTTGTATAGAGTCAATTATCAATCGGTCTATGGAAAAAGAACAGTCATTTAAGTTTTTCTGATAGCACTGTAACGTCGTGTTTCATCGAAAAGGCATTCATTAAAAGTCATCAAACGGAGGTTGCATCGTTGCCATTTCATGTGTTGTAAAAGTGTTGTATCACTTTGCAAATGTTACTGATTTAATTGTAAATAAAATATAGTTTCTGATTCTGCAATAACAGAACGCTCTTAAGGATACTTTATGAGTGTAAGTAAAGTTTTTATTATATTTTTTTTCTTTTATTTCTTTACGTAAAAATACGTATGCATAGCTCGCCCAAATTTCGCGCTATCAATTAATTGGAGGGAGAGAGAGGAAGATAGAGATAGCGTTTGATTAGGTAATAAAGAGAGAGAGAGAGAGAGAGAGAGAG